GGGGGGGGGGGGTGCTGGCCCCGGGACTCTGGGAAAGGCTGGGTGAGCTTGCTCAGGGTGGTGTCCTCGCCCCACCCCCTACCCCCCCCAGGCCAGCCTGCACCTTGTCAAAGCAGACAGGTGGGGAGATGGTGTGTGGAGAATGATGTCTGGGGCTGCCAAAGGGGGTACGACATCGGGCAGGAACTGGCCGCTCGGGGACAGCAGCTGTGATGCGGGATGCAGCCTGTCCCCACCCACGCCTACACTCCTGATGGGAACCCTGGATGAGCTTCCCTCCCGTCTCCTGCCCAAAGGCACTCCTGACGGCAGACACGCACCCTCCTCCTGACAGCAGGAAGGGAGGCTGTATCTTGCTGGGCGTTCAGGGAACACCCTTCCTGCCCCGGCCAGCCCTTCCTGGGCAGCAGGGCAGCACGTCTGGAGAGCCGAGGAAGCCTAAGAAAGCCACTCTGTGCAGCCCCATAATGAGGCTGGGGCTGGCCAGGCCCTCTGGGGGATCCGCAGAGGCACATCCAGCCGGGAACCCTCCCTGGCGTCTGAGGCTTCTCCAGAAGGAGGAAGGGACGCTCCTTCCCTGGGAAGCGGGCAGGTGCCCTGCCCCCCGGAGCCACACAAGGCAGATTCTCCCAGGCGAAAGGCAGCCACACGTCCAGGCTGAAGATAAGGTCCCCATGAAGCACAGAGAGGTGGGGACTGAGAAGGCCGACCCTCCCAAGAAGGGGGCCAGGCCCAGCCTCTGGTCATCCCTGTCCCTGGCAGGACACACAGCCTCCCCGTGCACATAGCACCTTCCGGCTCGCCAGGGCCTCGACAGCCACATCGGACCCTCCCCACGCCCTCTGTGGCAGAGGGGCCCACGGCTCAGAGGTACTGACTTAGCAGGAACTGAGCCAGGCCTCCCCAGTGCGCTCACCGGTCCCGGATCCAGAGCCGGAACGCCCCTGCCTTGACAGGCGTCATGGGGGAGGAAATGCCCGGCGGCTTCCAAGGGACACAGCTCGGGACTACATGTGACCCCAGAAATGATTTCCTCCCCGCTCCCCACAAAGTCCCGCTGTTCTCCGGGCACTGTCACCACAAGTCACGGTTAATTCATCTCTGCAGGATGGAAACAGAGGAGGGGGGCAGCCGAACAAGGTAAGAAGGACACCAAAACCACGTCAATCACGTGGGCGCCAAACATCTCATACGAAGGGAAGACCGGCCCACGTGGGCCTGACATTAGAGACCCTGCCCCCCAGAAGACGGATCTCATTCCGAAGCGTTTTAACCCAGATCCTAACCCCAAACCGCTGAGTCTGCAAGAACCCCCAACTCAACGCCCTGGTCACCGTGTGGCCCTGCCGAGGTCCGCCCCGCTTATCTGGGTCGTGAGCTCCAAGGACACCGAGGCGTAGAGCGTCGGGAAAGTCTGGAAACGTCCACCTTGGGTCTTTGTTCTGGAGCCAGGAAGGCTCAGCTGGACTTCTCCCTGCCGTAAAGAGCGCTCCCGGGGCCAATGCACGTGTCCCACACCGGGCGGCAGGTCGGCGGGGAACCCCTCCTCCTTCCTGGCCACCCTCTCTGCGTCAGGAGGGCGAGGAGTGTCTTCCCACCTGGGAACACACTGCCCGGCTTCCCAAGGATGCGCAGGCAAAGGGTTCTGGGAACCAACCGCCCTCCACTTTCTCCGCCGGGGAAGGTCTCTGCAGGACACATCTGCCACACGGATTTTTCCCCGGACCAACGGGGTTTTAGTCGTCATACGTATAAACGAGACAGGTGGCAAATTCACAGGGAAAGACGAGAACTAAAGCATCATCGCCACCTATCAAACCAAAAACGTGCTCTTGAGCGTAAATACCGCACAGAAATCACGAGGAAAGTATCAGAACAGGTGCGATGAAGGATAAAAGGCGGACTCAGTGGAAACTTTCCTCTCACGAATAGCTTTCCTTTTAGATAATGCTAGAGGTTCCTCGGCGAGGCTCCTACAGCTACAAGCAGTGGCTGGGGACCAGTGCAGCCGGGTGCCCTACGCGTCCCAGGAAAAAGACACGTCAGAGACGGGGTGGGGCCTCAGGAAGGTCGCTTAGACCCATTCGTTGAAGGGGGAGAGAGCCTCGTAAAGCCTCCAGGGGGGGTTGATTCCAGGCTTACAGGACGCCCCACGCACTGTGGCCGGGTTCACAGAACAGGTGTGAGAAGGCCGGCAAGGTCTCTGGGGTGTTTAGAGCCGGGGTCCAGAGGGAGTCCCAATACGGCAGAAAACCAGGTTGATAACACGCAGGGGCAGGAATGAAAGGTTGGAAGTTGTAAATCGAACGTCAAAAGGGTTTGACTTGGCCACGTTTCGCTTCCTTTCTTTTCGTGAACCAGTATGCGTGGGCACACATGTGTGCACACACACACATGTGCAAATCACGCGAAGAGCACCGCGTCTAGTTCTGACGGTTGATGGCGGCTCTGGGCCGTCAGGTGTCCCTGCAGCGACATTCGAGCCAGCACCCACTGCTGGTGGCCGAGCCCGGCCGCAGGCGCACGCGGAAAGGAACCCCGGACCCACCAGAAAATGCACCACGGGGCAGCGGCGGGGGTGGGGGAGGAAGAGGCGTGGGGAGGAGGCTTGGAGTTGCGGGCCCTGCTGGGGGCGGGGGCAGGACAGGTGCTCACCTCCCAGGTGGGCCAGGACCACCCACACAGGCGGGGGTGGGGACGGGGCTCGCGGTGGCCTCCTGGAAAGAGGGCCTGCCCCACTCCCGGCTGCCGGGGAGACTCATGTTTGCAGAAACGCTTTCTGGAGCGTGATCGGTTCCCCCGGGTCCCTGACTGACACGGGAACTCGCGGGGCGGCTGTGCGGTCAGGCTCCGTGCTCTCGACAGAGGCTGTCCTCCCCAGACCCCGCCCCGGAAGCAAGGTCACTCTGCACCCCTGCTTCTCTTGCCTCTCGGGCAAAAATCGCACCTCCTGTGACGCTCAGGCCGCCCGTCTCTATTGCCCTCGAGGCCCTAGTCACGGTCACCCATCGGCTGCACATGCAGACACGGAACGGTGTGGGGCCCAATGGCACGTAGCCCACCTCCTGTCCCCTCCCCCTCCCGCAGGCCGTGGCCAGCCCCTCCCACGGCTGCACCCCCACCGTTGGAACACAGCGCCCCCACCGCCCGCATCAGCTCTCAGGTGCCCGTGGAACCTGCACTGTTCTTCCAATGCACGCCCACCCTGCCCTGCCTCTGGCCCCCTCATTGTCCAGGGGCCGGCAGAGGCGACACGGTGTGCCCGAGACAAGTCTGGGGTGACCCGGGCTGGATCCCACGGATGCCAACAGAGAAGGGGGTGGAAAACCTTAGAGCCCACTCCACACCGCAGACCGCAGACCGAGGAGGCTCCGTCCTGAGAATGGAGACTTGGTCCTCATCTGTCCCAGCCCTGGCCTCACCCCACCCCCTCCGAGCCGGGCCCCTGCCCCCGCTTCGTGCACCTGCCTCATCCCTGACCCTGCATCCGCGGCAAATCCGCATCCTCCTACCCAACCAGCTGGCTGTCCCTCTAAGAAAATGGCCGTGACTTACCTCCTATGTGACAGTGACCATAATTCCCAAATAAGAAACTGAGACATGAGGTCTGATGATGGGTTTGACTTTCGGGCCACCCTGGAGAAAGCCTGGGAAAGCTGGCTGAGCAAACATCAGGGGCCGGAAGCCGCGGCTCAGCACCCCGGCCGGATTCTGAGTCACAAATCTGCACTGGGTGCGGGGCGGCACCTGGCCACCCTCTCTTCCAGGGCCTCCTGGGGGGCTTCTCCCGGCTGACCGTGAGCAGAGGGGCGGGACGCCGAGAGACCCCAGGCGTGCCGCACACGCGGCCGCCAGGGGCTACCCGAAGCGGCCTCTCCAGCCCGCTCCGCACGGCACCCTGGCCGCTGGCCGCGGGAGGGCCGGGGATGGTCTCTGCCGGCTGGCCCAGCTCCGAGCGGCCGGGATGCACCCGCCGGCTGCCCGGTCCGTGGACCACCCCCCGCCCCGTGACACAGTGGTGCGGCCCCGACTCCTGCTGAAACACGTCCCGTCTTTGCCCCCCGTTTCTCAAGTGTGGACGGAAGGACGTGGCCCGCAGAGGCCTCGCTGTGAACTCTGGCCGTGGAAAAACTGACTTGCGGACGGGCGGGCTGATGAGACAGCTGCCCAGAATCTAAGGTTTGTTCTTAAAGATGGGCCTTCATACAATGAGCTCTTTGTAGCCTGCCCTGTGATTTCATCCCTGACTCAGATCCTCAATGTCAGGCAAATGTCACTCGGTACCTCTCCTCCTCCCTGTCCTGAGGCCCCGGGGATCACGGTCTCCTGAGCTCGACACGGTGTGCAATGTCATCTCAAGGGGGATTCTGACCGGAGAAACCCAGGGGGCGGGGGAGGGGGTCGCTGTCTCCTTACGAAGGGAGGCTGGGTAAGGCGCCCGTGGACCAGGACAGGGAGCCATGTGCCCTTACGTCCAAGGGCTACTCCCATTTCGGGAACAAAGCACTCCCTGCAATTAAAGCTGTTCCCTAGGGGCACCTGGGGGGCTCAGTCGGTTAAGCGTCGGACTTCAGCTCAGGTCATGATCTCCCAGTTCGTGGGTTCGAGCCCTGCGTCGGGCTCTGTGCTGACAGCTCGGAGCCTGGAGCCTGCTTCCGATTCTGCGTCTCCCTCGCTCTCTGCCCCTCGCCCAGTTGTGCTCTGTCTCTCTCTGTCTCTCAAAAATAAAGAAACGTTAAAAAATTTTTTTTCTAAATGTAAAGCTTTGCCCAAGAAACAAGTGGGCGTCCAAGCTGGAGCTCTGTCCACACCGAGGGAAAACACTACATGCTTCTGTGACTCAAACTCACGTCTTGTTTCAATTACAAAACTCCGGGGTCATTAGAGAGCACAGTATTCTCCGTCTCCTCTCTGTGGTCTCCCCCGGAGCAACATTGAGGACGGGAGGACCAGGTTGGGGAGGACAGTGCCTCCAGGAGGTGTGTTTACTATATGCAGACGCCAGGAGGCCCCGAATAGTAACGGGACGTGTGTTCCTCTCCATTTGGGGTGACATGTGCTCAATTCACAGCCACGACGTGGGCGAAAAGAACCGTGACCGAAAATAACTGCTGTGGGGGCCGGCAAACGGGGGAGGTCAGTGGGCCTGGGGCTCCCCACGGACATCATCCTTCTAAAAACCTAGAAAAAATCACCAAGGCCATCCACGTAAACTGTGGAGTGCAGACGCCAGAGGAGGGCACCCATCACCCGGGGCCGGGTTTCAAGTCCCTCCACAAGCGAGAATCAGGGATGGGGCAGGCACTTTCGCCAAGAGGACCGAGCGATCCGTGCCTCTCTCGCCACACAGCCAAACCGCCTAGTGTAATGCACACAAAACAACGCAAAAAAAGAGAGGAAAAAGAAAAGACAAAGAGGGACGGGCCGAGGGGCTGCGCCTGCCTTACCCTGCCTGTACGCGATAGTTGACCACCTGCATCCGCGGCCCCGCCCTTCCGGGAGGTGGTCTGCACTCAGGACGGCCCCTGAGCCCCGTTAACCACGCTGTCAACGTGCCCGGTGAGGAACACAGCCCCCAGGACCTCACAGTGCCGCGTCCCGGCCACCCACTGCCTTCTTTCCCCTTCTTGTCCGTGCTAGGAGGGGCCGAATCTTTTCTCTAAACCTGAGCTCTAGGTCTTTTAAAAAGGAGTCCAGGGGCCTGTGTGGCTGGGTTCAGTCCGTTAAGTGTCTGACTCTGGGTTTCGGCCCAGGTCATCATCTCAGGGTTGTGAGATCAAGACCCACGTCGGGCTCAGTGCTGACAGCGTGGACCCTGCTTGGGATCCTCTCTCTCTGCCCCTCCCCCACACGTGTGTGCTTTCTCATTCTCAAAAATAGACTTTAAAAATATTTTTAAGAAGAGATTTAAAAAGGAGCCCGTAACGCTCGGCAATCGTTGTTTAAAGAGCTGACTGCACTTTTGAGACCAACAATCCTGCCCCGGTGACCGGACTCCGCGATCTGGCCGGCGTGCGGGCAGGGCTACCTCCAGCTGCCTGTCACTGGGTCACACACGGGCCCGGGATGAGGGACAAGCAAGGGGCCCGACTACAGGCAACGGCTTGTCCAGCGACAACAGCCACTCCCTCCCTGGGTGTCCCGGTACGGTGACGGCCGGCTGTGGCTTCTTGGAATCCGAGGGGCATAAAGCAAACTCACCTGGAAAATTTGCTGGGTCCTTCTCCGTCTTCGTCGTCAAAGTCCAGCCTGAAAAGTCAAGAGCACGAGGAGACTCATTACAGGCAGGACACATCACTGGCGACCCGAGCCGCTGGCACCGAGGGGGCTCCGTGCAGGGGGACAAATGCCCCACCCTCCCAAGCCCCAGCTGTTTGGTAAACGCTTGGATGCGGTCAGCCAACGGGTTCGGCACAGGGAAGGGAAAAAGGGCGGACGTGCGTATATGCGCCATTCGTTACGTGGTCGGGGACTTGTGCAAAGGGGCCCCCACGGGCCGCCGGCAGCTTGCAAACGCTGCCCTGCAAAGGTCCCCGGTGCCTGATGTCACCCCCGCCCCCCCCGCAGCTCTGGGGCACCTGATCCCCGCCACGTGGTTTGTTCCACAACAACTGCATCCTGCGCTGTTCCCTGGCATATCATCGGCAGGCCACAAACGCCCCAGGGGCCCGAAGACAGGAAGCTTTAAGGACGATAAAGGGACCCGCACAGGCCGTGCTGCCTGAGAACGTGGCCGCTCTGGAGGAGTCCGAGGGAAAGGGGCGTGGAAGGCCGCTATCCCCTACGGTCCAAACCCAAACAAACGCGTGCAGAGGAGAAACCTGGGGACTGAGCTGCTCAAAGAACTTGTCTGCCTGTTGAAACTCACCGAATCCTCAGGACCCCACCTCCCTGGGCCTCTCCATACACACATAAAACAGTCCTGATAGGCATTCGTTTAACTGATATCCCAAACTCCCCTGAGAACACCAATCCCCTCCAACAGCAATTAACGCGGCTCCTCAAGATGCTGGGGCAGTTAATTCGGATAAACTGCGCCCAGAATCTCCCGGGAGCAAAATGAGAAATCGTATGGATGTCCTGGCCATTCGGGCCGTGGGGGGCTCCTTGGGGAAAGCCTGAGCCACTGCACTGCCCACCCTGTTCCCAGTGGGACTGAGGGGCCAGTGAGGTGCGGTCCCGTGGGCTCCACGCAGAGGACGGCCAGCCGCCCGGCCGCCGGTGCCGAGAAGCCCCCGCTGGAGCCGCTGGGCCCGGGGGCGGAAGGTGGGCCGGCCTCGTGGGGAACACGATCCCCACCTCCAGCCCCAGGTGGGCAGCGGTGACTCAGGGAAGGTACAGGACGCCCCGGCCACCAGGAAAGGCCAGGTGCACAGGCAGGGCCATCCCCAGGCACGCGCACACACACGTGCACACACACGCACGAGAGAGGCCCCTCGTGAGATAAATCGTATTCTCTGGCTTCGGGGTAACTTGGGGGGCAAAGGACTATTTTCTTCTTAAAATGGGATCATTTGGTTGTTTTCGCTTTGCTTTTCGTGCGGTGTGGCCAGAGTCCTCATCTGCTGCCCTGACGATGGGCTCCAATGCCGGTTTGGAATCCCTTATGTCCAGACGCCCGGGCCACACTAGCCGCCGGGGACAGAACAGAAGGCGCGAGGCAAGAGTAGGGACACGGCAGTGACGACAAACACCCCCAGGCACGAAGGGCAGTCGCGGCGGGAAAGAAAAGTGCCGAGGAGTTGAAGGGCCACGTACGCACCACTGCGGAGACAGACCTGCAGCCCCCTGTGACGCCCGGGTGACAGGGTGCCAGGCGCCAGCCACAGGCTCGCCTGCGTGGTGGGCAAATGGGGGCCGAACGCGGGGCTCTCCAAATGGCGCAAAGCCACCGTTACGCCGCACCGTCACGAAGCCGGCTCCCCACCCTCACCAGGAATTACATCCGGAGAGCCACCAAAACTGCCACCACCAAATCCTCCCCCCCCCCCCCCACCGTCCTCTGCGGAGCCACAGAGCGACACTGCCCCCTAGCGCTCCCCGCGGGACAGTGCAACTGAGCGGTCCGCACAAAGATGACCTAAGCCCCCGACTGCAAAAGAGACTCTGTGTCAAGGAAAAGACGCTGCATTTTCAAAATTTTCAGAATTCCTGAGGATTTAGGTAAGCACTTGGCCAAAACCTGCAGCGAGTGTGAGATGCTCTGTTACCTGCACGATGCCGGTCAGGGCACGCCGACAGGAGTGTGAGAATCGGGCTCCCGCAAGACGTCATACGTTAGCCCCCTGTCCTCGTGTTTGGGGTGACAAGACATCCTGACCTTCCCGGGCTGAGAGGGCTCCCAGGACGCTGGGCGCCAGTGCTAACACTGGGGACGTCCCGGGCCAGCCAGGACGCTTGGTCGCCCTGGTTTTCATGAAGACAGCTCTGATCTCTGTGGGGACCTTGCTGGCGCAGACAGACGGGGATGTGAGCCGTCCAGGCGGGGTACGCGGTCCCCGCTGGGGCCAGGTCAGCTGTGGCTCCGGCGAGAGAGCCAGGGGACGGGGAAGGGACGGCCCTGTTCCGGAGTCAGAGTTCCCTGGGGTCAGCGGGAGCTCGGGAACCAGGGCTTGTCCGCAGACGACCGGAGACCACGAAACCGCGCCTCCCCTCTTGTGCACACATGACCACACGTGTGCAGCGATGAGATTCGGTAACTCGGAAAAGCACGACGCGGGGCTGAGCCCAGCAGATAAATCAGTGCACAGACAACGGGCCAAACCCTCAGGACAAGTCACCTGACCTCACGGGCCTCCCGGCTCAGCAGCACAGGAAACCTAGCTCCTGGGGACACGGCCACAACCAGGACGCTGCCTTTGGGTCTCTGTCACCCCTTCACACCCCGACTTTCAACACGACAATCACGAGGCTTATCTCCTCTGCTATAAAAGCTCTAAGTACTTCTGAGTCCTACCACGTTCGCTTTCAAGAATTCGGTACAAAACGCTGGGCTGAAAACGCGCTGCCTCACTTTCCTGCCAACGAGCAAGAATTCGCAGTGCGAGGCCAGGAAAGGCTGCTCTGGGCGCGCGAGTCAAGAGCTGGCCGTGTGCGGCCCCGGGACAGACCGAGTCATGACCACGACGCGTCCGCAAAGCTGAGTCGGCGGACGGAGCTCGCCCGTGCTCTGCAGGAGAGGGGGCAGCAGGGGAGGAAGCTGGGCCAGCCCGAGGCCCCCGGCCTCGACCAGAAGTGCGCCCCCCCCCCCACATGTGGAATCACTTTGCAAAGAATCTGAGACTCCTGAACCTTCACCTTGTGTCCCGGCGGCCAGCGGGGCGCTCGGCTTGCCCGCAGCTCCCGGGGAAGGCTGCCGGGGCAGGGCGAGGACATCCAAGCCCCGAGGGTCCTCGGGGACGGGCCAGGCAGGCGGCCAGGCGGGTCCAAGGCCTGCGAGGGGCCGGCTCTGCGGGGACGGCCGGGTGGCCGTCCCGGGATTCTGGACGCTTCCTCCACCAGAAAGCCCCGGACAGGGGCGGAGGGCGGGCAGAGGGCCCCCGCCCGTTGTCGCTTCCCTTCCCGGTCACCCGGGCCCCTTCTCTCTTCTCCCTCCCCCCCTGCCTGTGGCTCCCAGCACACCCCCACATTCCGTGGAGAAAGGCGTCTGTCCTGGGGCAGAAGCAGGGCCCTGCCGTGGGGTCACCTGCGTGCTGATGAGCGTGACCTCCATCACGCTCTCCTTTGAGTTTGTCTCAGTGTTGAGGCTGCGGCCAGAGTGTTTGCAAGAGTAGAGCAGGGGCCTCGATCACACAGCTTCAGCACCGGTGAAAACGCCAGGTGTGAGAAGCTCTCTGGACGGAGCCCTGTGGGAATGGTCACTTCCTTGCTTGGACACAGGGGCCGAGTCCCCAAGTCACTGGAGTTTTAGCAGAAGGAGCCGCGGTGTGCTCGCTCCCCCCCCCCCCATGACGGGGAGAAGGAAGCCGGCACCTTCCTCACGAGGGAGGACCGCGGAGGACAGGCCTCCTGATCTGTGGCAAAGGGCTCATGCCTTGTCCACAGGCGGCCAGTGGTCAGTACCATAGCCCCTCCTGAACCTCTCCTTTTTTTTTTTATTTTTTTTAACTTTTTTTTTTTTTTTTTTTTTTTGAGAGAGACAGACAGAGCTTGAGCAGGAGAGGGGCAGAGAAAGAGAGGGAGACCCAGAATCCGAAGCAGGCTCCAGGCTCCAGGCTGTCAGCACAGAGCCCGACACGGGGCTCAAACTCACAAACCACAAGATCATGACCTGAGCTGAAGTCGGACACTCAACCGACCGAGGCCCCCAGGCGCCCCTCCTTTCTTTTCCTGACATTGGACGTGCTGGGCAGGGGTGGTGCCGACCTCCAGGACGTGCTGTGTGTGGTCTGCTCGGGAAGGGAAGCTGGGGCAACTTCTGCAGAGAGGACACTGACCACAACCCAACTGCCAGCCAGGGCCGGAAGCACAAGTCAGGCGGGCCCATGTGGCCCAGCCCCGAGCGGGACGGGAAGGGGGGGCAGGACTCCCGGAGGTTCAGCACCAGCCCCGGGTACCGAGGGGCTGATCACCCTGCAAACCACGGGCTGGGCCTGACCATCTGGCCTCTTGTTAGAAAGGACGAGGCCAGCCATGGGGCTCGGTCTCCAAGGGACGGAAGTGAGGGAGCCACACGTTTGAAATAATTTCAGGGACGTCTGGGTGACTCATTGGGTTAAGTGTCCGACAGGCACAGGTCACGATCTCGCCATTCCAGAGTTCAAAGGCCCGCGTCAGGCTCTGTGCCGACGGCTCGGAGCCTGGAGCCTGCTTTGGATTCTGCGTCTCCCTCTCTCTCCGCCCCTCCCCTGCTCATGCTCTGTCTCTCTGTCTCTCTCTCTCTCAAAAATAAACCAACATTAAAAACATTTTTTTAATAATTTCAGGGGCGCCTGGGTGGCTCAGTGGGTTGAGCATCCGCCTCTTGGTTTCAGCTCAGTCCTGATCTCAACGATTCGTGGGTCTGAGCCCCGTGTCAGGCTCTGCACTGATGGGGCGGAGCCTGCTTGGGACGCTCTCTCTCCGTCTCTCTGCCCCTCCCCTCCTGGTGAGCTCTCTCTCTCAAAATAAATAAACATAAAAAAAATAATAAAGTAAGTTCAAAACACCTGGAATCTGTTAAAAAACAAGTCGGTTGAGGGGTGGACGGACCTGCACCCCTGCAGTGGCACGGCGGGGCCTCAGCCTCACCCCACGGCTGGTGTGGGGGTTCTGCTCACCACGGTCCTGCCATGAGGACCGGCCCCGTGGCTGTGGGGTCACTGCACCTGCACGCTGTGAGCGGCTGGGCATCGCGGGACAGCTGGGGGGGGGCCCTGCACTCCGCCTCTCGGCCTCTGCAACCCCCCCCCCCGACACACTTGGAAATCTCGGCCCCTCGCGTAAGGGCCACGCGGCGCACCGTGACAGACTGATGTCCGTCAGGAGGAAGTCATCAGCCATTTCGCTGGGGACAACACTGACTTGATGGGCAAAGGGCAGACGGGTGTGAAAACGTGCGTCCTGTGTTCCCTGCAGGGATTGCTGTCAGCTGGCTCGTTCTTTGCACTGCGTCTGGGACCACAGGTGCTACGCTCATGACGAGACGTGGTTTTCCGTCCCCCCAGTTCAAGGGCCATGTCCGCCCGGCACCCCCCGCCCCCAGCCCTGGCCCGCACCCCTTCAGCACCGTCACTAGCAGCACAGACAATGCAAACGCCTGACCTTCAGCTGCCGGGCTGTAGCCAAGGTTTCGAAAGGAATTCCTACAAATTCCTGCACGGGACGGAGCAGAGGCAGAGCACCAGGGGGGTCCTCGCCACCCGCCCGGAGCTCAGGCATGCAGCCTGCCCCACCCCGGCTGGCGTGCGGAGGCAGGGGGACGGAGGGGCGCCCCCTCCCAGAGATGGCCTGACCAGGGCCCAGGGGGCCGCGACCCACCTCCCCATCACAAGGACAAGCAAACAGAAGGTCCCAGCTGGGTGCAAATCACGCGCAGAGTTGGGGATCTTGCAAAATCTAAACAGCATGCAAACCGCTGAGCTTTGATTCTCCGGAGGGGGAGAGACACTATTGCCCTAACGGGTCGAGAGCGTTGCCCAACACGTATTAAGCCGGATTCCTGGAAACGCTGAGGGTGCTTACCCGGAACGCCGCTTTCCTCCACGGGCGGGCATGGCTCCCGCCATCCTCACCTGTCCCGTGGCCGCCATGGGGGCAACAGGCAATGTCACCGATCCAGGGATGTCTGAAGCCATTTCTGGAATGCAGACAAGAGAGGGTCTGTCAATGCCGCGAAAGGAACGAGCAAGAAAGTCACCCAGCAGTACCGGAAGCAGCCTCTAGGGGGTGCCCTTATGCAGAGCCAGGAGGTGAAAGAGGGCACAGATCTGCAGCCTTCATAGGGACACCTGGAGGGACACCTGGAGGCAGGTAAGACTTCCACGGACGCAGCAGCGTGGCCAAAACCTGAGGGGAACGAGCACCACGGAAAGCAAAACCCCTCGGATGCAGCAAACCCACCGAGAAGCAGGGGTCAGCCCCCCGCGGCCCCTGCCACCTGGGAGTGCGTCCTCAGGGGCAAAGACTGTTCCCCATCCTGAATCTGGACTCAGAACCCTGGGTATAGAGCCCTGCATGGCTCCGCCACTCACCACAAGGACACTGAGGCCCAGGGAGCCTCAAAGCATCACCACAGGCCGCAGGATGAGCCAGTGACGGGGCCCGTCCGATGCCCCAGCTCTCATGGGATCACATTCCCCAGGATGAGCATTAACGTAACGAACGAGAAGGTCTGAAAGATCCACCGGCAGGTGAATGAACAAGGAAGATGTGGGATCTACGGCGGAGTATTCCTCGACGATCAAAAAGAATGAGGTTTTGCCAGTCGCAACAACGTGGCTGGAACTAGAGGGAACTATGCCAAGCGAAATTAGTCAGAGAAAGACCAATATCACAGGACTTCACTCCTTTGTGGAATCTGAGACACACAAAAGATGAACACAGGGGATGGGAAGGAAAAATAAGATGAAAACAGAGAGGGAGGGGCGCCTGGGGGGCTCCGTCGGTTGAGCGGCCGACTTCGGCTCAGGTCAGGATCTCGCGGTCCGTGGGTTCGAGCCCCGCGTCGGGCTCTGTGCCGACGGCTCGGAGCCTGGAGCCTGCTTCGGATTCTGTGTCTCCCTCTCTCTCTGTCCCTCCCCCATTTGCGCTCTGTCTCTCTCTGCCTTTCAAAAATGAATAAATGTTAAAAAAAATTAAAAAAAAAAAACCAACAGAGAGGGAGACAAACCATAAGAGACTCAAATGCAGAGAACAAAGTGGGGGTTGATGGAAGAGTGGGTGGGGGGAGGGGCATGGGGGAGGGCGCTTGCTGGGATGAGCCCTGGGTGCTGTATGGAGGCGACGAATCCCTGGGGTCTGCCCCTGAAGCCATTATTACACATGTCAACCGACCTGAGTTTAAGTAAGGACATTTTTCAAAACAAGACGAGAAGGTCTGGCATGACCTTTCCTGTACGTCACTCTCCGAACACCTCACTCCTAATGAGCGGGAGACTTCCGCAAGCGGGTTGAGGCCATCTCAGACAGTCCCAATTTCAGGGAAACCACACGGCTGAACGGCTTCTCCTTCCTACTCTGTAGAGGGTTCCTGAACTCAGGCAGAGTGCTAAACGCCAAAGTAAATACTCGAGGGTCCTCTCTGACTCTGCTTACTGTTCCGGAGATTGGGCCCCACACTTGCCCGGCCCGGCTCCTACCCTGGTCAGGAGGGAAGCCGCAGGCTTCCCAGATGTGCTTCGAGAAGACAGGTCGGGATAAATACGGGAATTGGGGCCCTTGTCAGCGGAGAACGGGCACCCGGGGTCCGGAGGTGCTCAGATGGGGCGGGTTCCCGTGCCCCGCCTCCTTCCAGAAACCAGGCAGGCGTCCGACAGCTGCTCCACATTACTTCCAAAGACATCGAGTTTCATAAACACATTCTAAGGTCAACTCAAACGACTGCGCTCCAAACTTCTGAAGGAGAATTTTAGAATACTAACAAACAAAACCTTATTTAGCTGCTGGGCTCTGATCACAGAAATCCGAGAGCCGTCACAGTTGCTGGGTTTTTTTAAACGAAGGTACACACTGCGGGGGAAGTACTCTGGGGGGGGAAAAACCCCTTTCTTAAGGTAATGCTCTCCCCTGTCAACAATTACTGTACTGGATTGGTGACAGCTGGACAGCGTGAACAGGGATGACCTTGTCACCGCAGCTGCTTCTGATAAGAAAGCTGTCCTTTTTCTGAAAGGGGGACTGAAACAGACGAAGTCCGTGAAGGCCCCAAAACGGAAGGCGAAATCCCTCTGCCAGCGCAAATACGGGTGCAAACGAAAGTCGCCACTTCCCAAAACAAACCGCACAGAGTCCGTCCCCTCAGATTCTCCGAGAAAACGTTTTCCACGGTTAAGCAAGCTAGGAAAAGCCACACACCATTCGCCCTCCTTGGAGCGTCCTTTATTTTATTGTTTTTTTTTAGATTTTGTAACATTTATTTACTTTTGAGAGAGAGAGAGAGAGAGAGAGAGAGAGAGAGAGAGAGCATGAGCGGGGGAGGGTCAGAGAGAGAGGGAGACACAGAATCCGAAGCAGGTTCCAGGCTCTGAGTGGTCAGCACGGAGCCGAACGCGGGGCTCGAACTCACGAACCACGAGATCGTGACCTGAGCCAAAGTCGGACGCTTAATCGACTGAGCCACCCAGGCGCCCCTGAGTGTCCTCTAAAAACATACTGAGAAGTCCTGTATCAGGAAGTCTGACTTTGATTAGAGCAGTATGTCATGAAAAGGGGGTAAACAGAAGGCAATGCATAGTTAGGACAAAATGATACTCCTCCTATTTTTTATGGGAAGACAAAAATATTGGTTGTTTTTGTAATACAAGTTACAGAAAGCAAAGGTCCCCAAAACCCGACTAAGGGGCTCCCGCTGTCCAATCCTTTCCTCAGATGAATGAGGGGAGCAAGGAGAAAGAGACTGGCTGCTTTGCACGAGTGCCCAGGCTTAGCCAGGGCAGGGCAGGCCCGTCTTCGTGGCACGTCGACACCCTGTCTGCCCCACTGGACGCTATGCACGAGTGGACCTCCTCTGCCTCCATCGGACCCCACTGAGCACACCCCCGAGCCCTCCGAGCCTGTGCAGGACACCGGGCGCGAGCCGACAGGGGGACGAAGATGTTAGAGCTTTGGGGCACCCGGGTGGCCCAGTCGGTTAAGCAACCGACTTCGGCTCAGGTCGTGATCTCTCGTTTCGTGAGTTCGAGCCCCGCGTCGCGCCCTGTGCTGACAGCCGGGAGCCTGCTTCCTGCTTCAGATTCTGTGTCTCCCTCTCTCTCTGCCCCTGCCACCCCCCCCACGCTCTGTCTCTCTCTGCCTCTGAAAAATGAATAAACCTTAACGAAAAATAAAAATAAATAAATACACTTAAAAAGAAGACATAAACGTGGCCAAATGAAACACACAGACGCTAACAAAACCAGGAGTCATCTTCTTACTGTAAGGAATGAAGTTACTTCTAGGATTTTAGGTGCTGGGCCACAAAGGGGGGGTACGGCCATACAGAGGGCCCTCCCGATCGCTCGGTGGCCCCCGCTCACGACAGTTCGCCGAGTGATGCGGGAGCAAAGGGCTGTGAGGGGGGAGCTCTTCTCCAGGGCCGACTTGCACAGCACCACCACTGCAGGTGGGGTCAGCAGACAGGCCCCGAGTGTGCCTCCACCCCTGTGCGGTCCCTGACCTCCCCGACTTCCGCCCTGCCCGTGCCCCCACGGGGCTTCACACACGGGCACACGCGGGAACACCGCCCTGACCCCAACGTGGACACGGCCCTCCGGCAGCGTCCCTGAGCAGGTGCACAGACATGGCCCCACACCCCTGCGCGAGGGCGGAGGCAGGCCAGCGGGGCCGGGGAGTCCTGGACCCCAGGCCCTTGGCGGCCCCAGCAGACGCTGGAAGGGGAGGCAAGGTCACGGTCCTCACCCAGACTTTCCCACGTAGTTGGGGCTGACCACACGAGAAAGGAGAAGCGTCTAGTGAGGCACAGAAACATGAACGGTTTTACTGACAGATCACGTAGCAAAATTCAAACCCACGGTACAAACAAATGAGGGACTTTCAACCGTACAAGGGACAGTCTGTCATGTGGTAAAGTAGTCTCCTGTCCCTGGTGGGTCACCCTGAGGCCTCGGGGCCTCCCGTGCAGCCCTCGGCACTCGGGCCTTTGTCCCCGTGCCCCCACCAGAGAGCTGCCCCCGCCTCCCCGACCTGGAGCTCTCTCCCCCGGGGCTTCGAGGTGCCCGACGCCCCTCCCACTCACAGGCCCCGCCTCCTGGGTCTCCCTGCTCCCCTCCACCTCTCCTCTCCCCAGGGCATCTCGTCCAGGCGCTTGGCCATGATCCCAAATGCACCATCGGGGCCTGCTGTTACCCCTAAAGGTCTCTCCAACCTCTGGGTTCCGCTGCAGGCCTGCCTCAGGCCCCCCTCCGCTGGCCTCCTGCACCTACTCTCCCCCCCACGCATCGTCACGGGGGCCAGATCTGCCAAGACCAGCCTCGCTCATATCCTCCGGCGGCTTCTGTCCGCTCCCAGCACAAATGTGGAGCTCCCTGCCACATCCAGCCAGTCCCCGTGTGGTCAGGCTGCCACCCACCCGTCTTGAGCTCTGGTCACACTGCTTGCTCTCTGTTTGTTGAACACGGCGTGCTCCCTCCCACCTCAGGGCCTTTGCACACGCTACGTCCTGTGGCAAGAACGCTCTCCTCCCTCTTCACCAAGCTAACTCCTAACAGTCATTCAGCTCAGCTCAAACATTACTTCTGCGGGAAGCTTGTCCCTGGCCGGTCCCTTCCCCGGCCTGGGCCCGGTCCCCTGTGGTTCATTCTTACCACACCTGTGCTGCTCCTGCTGCGAAGCAAGGAAGGTCACAGCCGTCCAGGTGGACGATGGCAGGGCCTGAGTGATGCAGCTGTGAAGAGGGCGTTCAGGAGGGAAGAGATGATGTCAACGCCCCAAAATACTCCATGTGTCACCGTCAGCACCCAGAAAGGGAAGATTCTAAAAAGCCTCGATCACCTGATCCTCCCACACGGAGACTATGGGGCAAAAAATTTCTGGAGGGGGAAGGAAAGTACGGTCGGGCCGGATGCGCATTTGCATCTGTGCACGCCACACACCTGACACACGGGGCCTCTGCAGCCGGGCGGGGCACGAGCTCAGACCTCCCTCCGGCTCTTACCCCGAGGGCCGTGTGCCAGCTCGGGGTCCTGGGCGCAGGCCCGGATTCCCCATCGCGCGACTCGGTTTCTCTACCTGTGCTCCAACCGGGATATGGGATTAATCCGGACCCTGCTTCCTTTTGCAGAGGCTGCTGTAAGAAAACGGGGCCCCGTCATGATCACAAACGGCATTCGCGAAGCTCTGCTTTTGCGCCGGGAGCCTGGCAGAGGCTGGGTGGTCAGAGACGAGAGGACCCCTCCTGCCTCTGGTGGAGATGGGGCTGGGCAGAGCCCTCGCGAGGGCCGTGGGCTGCGCAGGTGGCCTGGCAGCACGTTGTGGGAATGCCCACGAGGGCCCAGGAAGGCTTCCTGGAGGAGGCCACACCTATGCCATCCTGGCCGTGGAAACGCTCTGGGAAAAATGAAGCAGGATGCACAGAGTGCCCTCTTCCGAAATGTATTCCTCTGACTGCTGCAGAGCTGTTGACCGGATCCGCCCGGCCTGGCCCTTGGGGGGCGTGCCCCCTGGCTCCCGTGCCCTGGCGGTCCCCACCTCCTGCGACATCAACACTCCTCCCCCACCTCAAAGGCGGCCCCGGTGCACGGACCTGGGCGCGGGGTCCGGGGTCATAACCGACGGCAAATGCACAAACAGGCAGAATGATCTCTGTCCGCAGCGGTCTGACTCCAAACGCAGACGCCCCCCACCCCCCACCCTGGGAAGCACCAACTCCCGTCACACACACAAACACACACACACACACACACACACACGGGCAAAATGACTGCCTGCCTCGCCCAAAGTTGCAATGAGCTTCTCGGCTCGTTTTAACATCAGTATGAGCTAAGGGCTCTGAGAGCCTCGCCACCACCCAGAGAACGGAGCTGGCTCGTGATGTAGCATCTAGCTCAAGACCGGCTCCCATTTCAGACGCAGACATATTGTGCCGGCACAGGCGGTGAGGACGTGGGGAGAAGGGAGCCCGGGAGCATCACGGATGCCGGCGGCACGAGGAAGTGAGAAAACACCCCGGCCCCCCCCCCCGCTATTTCATGGAAATCGCAATAAGAAAGATATCCCTTGATCTTCATTCACAACATGGGGAGAAAAATTAATTACGTGCAAACTTTCACAAGACAACAACATGATGTTTTCACGACAATTCCAAGAATCGGAAGACCAGAAGGGGTCTCTCCGGGGGTCGGAGGTATACAGAGGCAGCTAATAGGCAAAGAAAAATGTCCTCCCCAACAGCCATGTCTCTCAGAGCAATTCCTTCCACGGAAATCACACCCGATATCACAGCCCTACCTTTTCAGAGGGATTAAACAAAGATCTTTCTTCCTGGTGTCCAACACCTTCTTGGGAGAATCTGTTATCCGTGTAGAAGTGCCAGGAGCCGCTGGGAGGAAATGAATGGCATTTGTATTCCACTCAGAAAATGTCATCACAGATCTGTTTACCTAAACTGTGGACCATGATTCAGCCGTGAAAACTGTCTTGCATACTGATCAATTTATTTGCAGCAAAATTTCTAACATTAACTGCTTAGGTTCTGAAAATTCGGGGACTTGGGTTTCTCACGCAGCCACAATATGCATTGAAAACGTCTAAATTAGCCTTAACGCGACGCGCGGCCGCCGCCCCGCCGCGGCGTGGAGATCAGAAAGATTCCTCCAGACCTGAGAGCAAGGGAGTGTCCCTTCCACTTCTGGAAGGAAGGCAGGACGCTCGATTCCCAAAGGCCCTCCGTGGGGTGGGATTTTTATAGCTCAACGTACAGAAAAGTCATCAGACCGAGAGCCCGGGGCCTCGGACCCCAGATCCTGGCTACGTTTTAAGCAGCCCTGTGTCCTCTGTAAGGCAGGCTCATCCCACAGGCAGGCTGGGTCCCCGCAGCAGGACGGAGGTGGTGGACGCGGGCGAGGCCAGGCCCTGCCTCCACCAGCCAGTGCCTCCAGCCTGGGCACGGGCCTCGGGGCATCGCCGTGTGCCTGAGCTCCCCCTCCCTGCCCCCACCGCCGGCAGGCAGGTTTTGGCTTTGGAGAACCAGAGTTGGTGCAAGGTGGCCTGGAAGAAGGGAGGGGAGACTTCCATCGAGATGATGACTCTGGAGCAGGACGTTGAGGGCAAGCTCCACGCTCAGCCCAGGCCCCCCCTCGGGGCTAGCCACAAGGGGACCCCCACCCGGCCTCTGTGTCACGCTCGGGGCAAACCCAACGGCCGAGGGATGGCCATCGGCCATCGGTGCTACAAATAGGGCGTGCTGTGTGAGCCTGTCACCCGAGCTTTCATATGTAAAGTGCGTTCTAGACGAACTAAGCTGAAGATCTCGTGTGCGGGATTCGTCCTCTCAATCAGACGGTTCACAAATATAGTGCGTTGTTGCAAGAGTAAACATGTGATCATCCACGGCCATATGGTGAAGGCCATTCATTTTACACGCGGCACCAACGACTGAGAACTTCCAAATACTTACACGTAAAAGGAAACGTGGGCGTTAACAGCAACACTGAGGGAGCGTGTTCGCTAACACCTGAAGCAAGGCCTCTCTGTCCTCTTTGAAAAGGGGCGGGAACAGATCCGTAAGTGAAAATCCAATGCAGGCGAAAGGCCATTACCACAGTGCATTGTGACCAGCACCTTTGTGGGTCTGTCCGGTATTCGGGCCTTGGTGATAACAAACGACTATGAGCATTTATCAAAACGTTTATTTCTGTTTAGGCCACGTATCTTTCAAGAAAAAGCCGTATTTGGACGCTTTCCTATCTTTGTAAGGATGAAGTGATACCCAACTGGGTCACCTTTGCCACCTAAAAAATGCACAAGGCGGGGAGCTTCAAAATCAGACATACCAGGGACACCTGGGGGGGCTCAGGAGGTTAAGCATCCGACTTCAGCTCTGGTCATGACCTTGCGGTCCGTGAGTTCGAGCCCCGTGTCGGGCTCTGTGCTGACAGCTCGGAGCCTGGAGCCTGCTTTAGAATCTGTGTCTTCTCCTCTCTCTGTCCCACCCCCACTCGTGTTCTGTCTCTCTCTCTCTCTCTCTCTCAAATATAAACACTAAATTTTTTTTGATTTAATTTTTTTTTAATTTACATCCAAATTAGTTAGCACATAGTGCAACAATGATTTCTGGAGTAGATTCCTTAATGCCCTTTACCCATTTAGCCCCACACTAAAAATTCTTTTAAAAAATCAGACACGCCAAGACAATGTAAACAGCTTGTCGTCCGTCCAGACACAGCTAAGAAAACAAAGGGTCCGAGGAAAAGCAGCAGACGTTCGGGAACATCGAGCCCCCAGCACAGCACCTCTCCGCCAGCCCCCGCTGCAAACGGACGTGTTTAGTCCCATGAGCTGCAACGCCAGGCGGCCGGGCAGCCTGGCCACGGACGGAGCCTGGACAGACCGCTGGGGGCCGCTGTCACACGGGTCCAAAATGACAGCACAGTAATGACCCGTTTTTGTTAAGATGTCAGGTCTCCATTCAGGAAGGATCAGCTTCAGCTTCAGCCGGAATCACAACCAAACAGCCACCCTGCGTGACGTGCGCCGATTCCCTCCGCGCACCTCCGGTGGGTGTGCGAGCAGAGACCGTGTGTGTCCGTGGGTCTTAAGGCAAGCCCCCTGGTTGGGGGGGGCACAGCCAACACCCACACGGGACTCTCATCCCCCACCTACCACTTCCTAGGGTATCTCGGGTGTGAACCCTCAGAATACAGAGCTCTCATGATCAGCATACAGTGCACAGGATTCCACGGAAAGTGAGCGAGCAGACCCAGGACGCCGGACTCCACGGCAGCCGCTGGGAGCTCGGACAGAGCTTGGGGAGTGGACAGAAGCTCTCTGCGAAATCCTGAAATCTGGGCCTTGTGCAGCCTAGCCCGGAGGGAGGGGAGAGGAGGAGAGACAAGGGGAAGGGGTGAGGAAGGGCTGTGGAGGGGATGGTAGGGCAGGGAGGGGTGGGAGGAGGAGGGGAAGGGAGGGACAGGAAAGGGAGGGGGGACAAAGGGAAGGGGTGAGGGAGGGTTGGGCGGGGATGGGAGGGCAGGGAGGGGTGGGAGGAGGAGGGGGGATGAGAGGGGTAGGGAAGGGAGGGGGGACAAAGGGAAGGGGTGAGGGAGGGCTGGGGAGGGGATGGAGGGACAAGGAAAGGGTGGGAGGAGGAGAGAGGGGAGGTGTAGGGAGGAGGGGGAAGGGGTGAGGAGGGCAGGGCAAAGAAGGGGTGGGAGAGGGGAGGGGAGACAAAGGGAAGGGACGAGGGAGGGCTGGGGAAGGGAGGGGTGGGAAGGGTTGACCGGGGAAGGGGTGAGGGAAGGCAGGGGAGGAGATGCCAGGGAAGGGGTAGGGAGGGGAGATGTCGGCAGGGAAGGGGTGGGAGAGGGCAGGGTGGGGCCCACCCCGAGAGGAGGTGTCTTCGGAGCCCCACGAGGCTGCCAGGCACCGCAGGCTCCTTGGCCCTCCCGCAGGGCAGTGAGGCAGCGTCGTTATCCTGGCCTCCCTGGTGGGATAACGGTTATCGCACGCAGTTAGCGCATCGGACTGGCGCCCAGTGAACAACCTGAGACACTCAGGAAAGTGCACGTGACGGGAGACAAGGCTGCACGAGAACAAAGGAGACAAGACAGGACGTGAGACAGCAAGGTGAGGCTCCAGCGAAGACACGCGGGGAGTCGGTTACTGGAGGCGGGAGGCCAGGCCACCGGCCCACAGGCGGGGACAAGGGGTCACAGCGGCCACGACACGCGGTCCCTCCCGGCAGCGACCCTGCACCTGGCCTGGCCATCCCGCTTCTCAGCGCCGGCGGGGGACGGGACCGAAGGCCTCCACGGAGAGGGGCCGGCTGCTCCTCCTGGCCGTGAACTCGTCATTGCGCCTCAGCGGGAACCCAGTGCCTGCAGGATCCGGGTGCAGCACGAGGCCCCGGACGCACAGACAGGAAGGACGGAGCCACCGAGGTCAGGGAAGAAGGAGCAGCAAGCGGCCCAGGACGAGAGCGGCAGGTGCAGCCGCCGGGCCCTGGCCGACCGCAGCCCGAGCCGCAGCACGCGTGGAGGGGCCGCGGGCGCTGGAGGCGGGGAGCTGGGGGGTCGTGTGAGCCGTTTACCCAGGAACCAACAGAGTCAGACGGGGTCTCCTAGATCCTGTGGCCTCACCCACTGTCATCCAAACAGGGACGCCTCCGGGGGACAGTGGGACAGACTCTCAAGCAGACAGCAGCCCGCAAGCAGGATGGTGGTCGGTCTCCAACAAGAGGCCGTGTCCCCGGAGCCAGGACCTCTCTAAACCACGAGTAAACCGCCGCCACGTGTAGGCTCCCCAAGCCACCCAGCGGCCAAGACCGCCCGCTCAAGACCTACGGAGGTGGCACCGGGATGCGGACACGTGGCCGGACGAGGTGAAAGCCCATTATGTGGCCACGATGTGCCACTCGCCGGGTCACCGAGCCCCGTGGAAAGGTGAGGGCCCGGAGGGTGCAGTGTTTATTCCCGTATCTCGCAGCGTCACAACGTCCTTCGGTGGCGGCCGTGTTTCCCTTGTGGCCGCATCTGGGAAAACTGGGCCCCAGAACGGAGCTCTGATCGCCACACCCCTGCTCCAGCGTGCTTCTCCCACCGGCTGCGGTCCGCACGTTCACAGCCCCCAAGACTCCTGGGTCCCCTCTAATCCCCTGTGGGACGGGACCAGGGGGGGATTTGGGCATGAGGGTGGAGCTTTCACTGGGATGAGTGCCCTTTTAAGCAGAGGCAGGAGACCTCGCTTCCCTCTCTCTGCCCCCGGCCACGTGAAGATACAGCGAGAAGGCGTCCATGGGCGAGCCCTCACCAGACACGCGGCCGGCACCTTGACCTTGGACTTCCCGCCTCCAGGACTGGCAGAAGTAAGTATCTGCGGGTTGAGCCGCCCAGTGTGTGGCACCCTCGTCACTACAGTCGCTTGAGCAGACTGAGACCCAGTCCCCGGGACACAGCACCTGCGGTAAGACGGGGGGCCCCCACTACGGCAGGCTCAGCCAGGCTGCATGAGGCATCGAGCCAGGACCGGGAGCCCACGCGGGGTGGGGGGTGGGCTCTAACCGGAGGGGGCTGGGCAGGCACGGGGTGGGGGGGGGTGTGTAGAGGAAAGGACCAGACAGGGTGCAGGAGGATGGAGATCATTCATTCCCTGGTGTCCACGTGCCAAGTGTGGGAACTGGGAGGTGCTGGCCCTCTGACACAGGTGCTACATGAATGAATGAATGAATGAGTGAATGAGTGAAGAAATGAATGGGTGAATGAATGAATGGGTGAGTGAATGAATAAATGGGTGAGTTGGTGAGTGAATGGGTGAGTGAATGAGTGAGTGAATGAATGAATGGGTGAGTGAATTAATGAATGAATAGGTGAATGAATGAGTGAGTGAATGAATAAATGGGTGAGTGAATGAGTGAATGGGTGAATGAATGTGTGAATGAATGAATGGATGAATGAATGAATGAGTGAATGAATGAGCGAATGAGTGAATGAATGAATGGATGGGTGAATGAATGGGTGAGTGAATGAATGAGTGGGTGGGTGAGTGAATGAATGGGTGAGTGAATGAGTGGGTGAATGAATGGGTGAGTGAATGAGTGGGTGAATGAATGGGTGAGTGAATGAATGAATGCGTGAGTGAGTGAATGAATGCGTGAGTGAGTGAATGAATGCGTGAGTGAGTGAATGAATGCGTGAGTGAGTGAATGAATGGGTGAGTGAGTGAATGAATGTGTGAGTGAATGAGTGAATGAATGCATGAGTGAATGAGTGAATGAATGCGTGCGTGAACGAATGGACTCCAAGTGTGGGTGCTACCTGACGAGGCACATCCAGGTTCACAATTATTCACACACAAAATCAGTGCCAAGCCATCAACCGCAGTGTCATAAACCTCCTCGGGAGCCCACGAGCCACCCACGTCTGCCCCAGTAACGGCCTCGGCGGGGGGGTACTCTCCATATGGAGGGAGTGAGGGGAGGCCCCGGCCCCGAGATGGGGGGCTGTGGGACGAGGGGTGACACGGCCAGCGATGTGCACAGGGATGGCTGCTGGGTGGCTGGGAGGGAAGCGTGACGATGAGAAGGGCTGGGAAGGTGAGCACAGGGGGCCCCGGGTGGCAGGTGGCCAGTTCGCAGGACCGACCGGCCTCAGCTCGGCAGCACCGGGCTTTGCTGACGCGGAAGCAGAACTAGACGGCAGCTCTTCTCAGGGGGGGTTACTGTGCCCTGAGAAGGCACACTCCCTACACTCCTCTGTCCCCTGTCCCCTCACCGCCCCCGCCCCTGTGCCCCTTCTCCACCGCCTGCCGGTGGTCCCCAGACCCCTCACTCCAGCCCTCACCTCCCGCTCGCACTGAGCTGTGACTCCCGATTCCTGCCAACGCCCCCCCCCCCCAACAGAAGTACACGTAAACTCGACATATGCCCACACCCCCGCTCTCCCTCTGAGGCCCCTCCGTCCTGGTTTTGTCTCTCTAGACCCAGCTTCCAGCCTCAACTTTTCAGGCCCAGTCACGCACTGCCATCTGACTCTACCTAAAGACCAATGCCGACGTGGCAGGTTTTGCACAGGACGCTGGAGAAGGCAACTTTCTTATTCTCGAGCCCACAGATGCCCAGGTCAGGAGGGACACTTCTCGGTCAAGAAATCTGTAAAACCCGGGGCGCCTGAGCCTGGGTGGCTGTCGGTGGGGCGGCCGACTTCAGCTCATCTCACGGTCTGTGAGTTCGAGCCCCGCGTCAGGCTCAGGGCTGATGGCTCGGAGCCTGGCGCCTGCTTCCAATTCTGTGTCTCTCTCTCTCTCTCTGCCCCTCCCCCGTTCATGCTCTGTCTCTCTCTGTCCCAAAAATAAATAAACGTTGAAAAAAAAATTAAAAAAAAAATGCCTTTCTGGAAAAGGAAAAAAATAAATGTGAGGATGCCCCCTTGTTTACACAACAAACTGATTAAGGAAATCACATATCCTTCCGTAGACACGGAATCCCCTTCCAAACGTTTTACGAAACAAAGTACTTTTCTCGAAACAAAGTTTTCTCGTTGAATATATTCCTTGATGAACGTGTTCATCCATCACTTGACAAATAGGTCTTGTGTTCAATTTTAAACAGTGAATTACTCTCTATCTATAAAATATTCAAAATACTAAAAGTGTTTGCACGCAAGGCGTTGTAATGTGTCTTTTCATTCTTGTGCTCTCTGGTGCCATGGACCAATGGGATCTGTCCTCAGTGGCCGGATTCTGCCTGGGACCTAACATTGCAGAGAGCAGTGGGTGGGCCCCTGGAGGACAGAATGCTGGGGCTCCCGGCCCCCTGAAAAGCCCGGGCGGCTGAGGCCCTCGGGGATCATGGGACACACCTCTGGCTTAGCAGACCTGGGCTCCCGGAGCTCATGGGAACACCATTCCTGTCCCAGAGGCTCTGGCCCAGCAGAAGGTCCCGTCAGTGTGGACCAGCTATGCCAGAGGCCAGCACACTTTCCTGTGGGGGTCAGGGAGCGGGTATCTTAGCTTCAGAGGCCACGGGGTCTCCGTGGCACCTACTCATCCACACAGGCATTACACAAAAGCAGCCCCAGATGCCACAAAATGAGTGGGCTTGGCTGTGCAGCAGCTCATGAACAATGAAATTAGAATCTCATACATGTTCACATCACGAAATAGCGTTCCTTTAAGCCCCCCCCAATCATTTAAAAACGTAAAAATAGGGGCACCTGGGTGGCTCAGTCGGTTAAGCGGCCGACTTCGGCTCAGGTCATGATCTCATGGTCCGTGAGTTCGAGCCCCGCGTCGGGCTCTGTGCTGACAGCTCGGAGCCTGGAGCCTGCTTCGGATTCTGTGTCTCCCTCTCTCTGCCCCTCCACTGCTCATGCTCTGTGTCTCTCTGTCTCTCAACAAAAAATAAACGTTAAAAATTTGTTTAAAAAAAATGTAAAAATAATTCTAACTTGTGGGACACAGAAAAATAGGAGGCCGGACAGACGAGGCCCATCAGCTGTAACTGGCCAACCTCTGGCCTAAGCAAATAAGCCCAGCAATCTGGGCCAAGAACCCGGGGGGGCTGGGGAGTCCCCTACCTCTAGCTCAGCTCAGCCGACCCGTGGGCAAGGCACGGCCCTCCCACTGTGCCCGAGCCGCAGGGGAGCGGCAGGCCCCCCGGGGGTGGCACATCAGAGCCTGTCCAGGAGGCAGAGGTCCCCGGGCATAGATGCGGGAGCGGCCGGGTCCCTTCGGAGAAGTGCCTTCACTGCTCGGCTACCTGCCCAGCGGGCGATGCTCTCCCCAGGGCCACGCAGGCTCGCCTGGCTCAGGGTGAGAGATGGGCCCCCTGCCAGGGATCTCTGAGGAAGCCCGGGGATGCAGGGCCCACCCCGGGCACCGGCAGGAGCCACCGACAGCCGAGCTGAAGGAACAGAGGCAAATGCAAGACGACAGCATCTTGCCACAGGAGCTGGACGGGCCGGAGCACCGGGGGAAGAGAGAGCACGGAGGGAGGACACGGGAAGAAGGAACCCGAGAGGGAGGTGGGCTGGCCGGGAAGGCGCCATCCGCCCAGCGTGTCCCCACCACAGCCCCACGATGCGCCGGCCCCGGGACGGGCTCTGGGGTCAGCTGGCCTCGGACACCAGCGCGGCTCCAGGGCAGGGCCCCGAGAGGAAGCTGGCGCTGGGGAGCCGGCGTGGGGGTTCCAGCGGGAAGGGGAGACCCTGCCCTGGCGCAGGGCTGGAGGGGCTGGCCCTGCCGTGACCGGACCCCGGGCAAGAGCAAGGCCACAAGGGCCACCTCCAACCAGCCAGGGCCCCAGTGATCGCAACCACCCACCTGCACGGAGGAGAGCGGGGCCCCCAGAAGACCATGCAGAGGAGGCACAGGGCCCGCTGGTCACAATGCCCAAGGCTGCTGACCTCCCGGGGACAGTCTGAGGCACAGGGTTCCAGTTCTATGCTGACCTCCCGGGGACAGTCTGGGGCATGGGGTTCCGGTCCTGCTGACCTCCCGGCCACGATCTGGGGTGCGGGTTTCAGTTCTATTGTTGCCTTTACTGGGGGGAGGGGGATTGGTGGCAGGTGACTGGTTGGCTTTACTGGACGATGTGTTGGTTCCCTGGACGATGCCCAGTGTCCCGTGGGAGGGACGATGATCGTGGACTCTGGTGAAGGGTATGAAGATGGCCGGCAAGCCCCCCGGGACCCTGTCCGGGGAGGGGGACGTGTGACTCATCACTGCTCGCGCAGCGCCCAGAACAAGGGTAGCAGGGCAGGTGTGCGCCCATCCTGGGCGAGCTGAGGAAGGAGAGAGGAGGGGTCGTCCCCTGGCTCACGGTGGCCACACGAGCCCGGGCAGGCCGCCCCACCGCTTTCTCGGTTCTGGGGGCGGGTACGGAGGGTGACGGCACTTCACCCCCCCCATTCGCGATTCTGATGGCTTCTCTGTGTCACGAAAGCAAAAGAGAAACCCCACGGCCACGACCTGGAAGGAGCAGGCGGATCCCAAGCCTCTCTCGAGAGGCACAAGGAAGAGAGGCCAAGAAACAAGACAGGTTTCCAACCTGAGACTTGGGGTCCTGAAGGAAGTGGCCGGCCCGGCCGGGGGCCGGGCTCCCGGAGGGGCGGGTTGTGCCTGGGGAGCGGGTAAACCACACAGATCTCTGAGCCTGGACCACGCACGTGCAGCCACGGGGCCGGCGCACCTGTCACAGGGTGCCCGGGAAAGCCCTGTTTTCGGCGGTGCTATCGGGGCAGAGAGCCCAGGAGGCCCTGGCCGTCCCCGGAACAGCGGCCTTCGTCTGGGGGGGGGGGGGGGCCCAGGCGCCCGGAGAAGGAAAGACCCGGAAGGTGGCCGGAGGGTTGGTGGGGGGTTGTGGGGGGCAGGAAAAACAGGCATGTGCCACCAAGGCTGCCCGGTCCATATTTTCTCAGCATGACAACCATGTCCCGTGGGTGTCCCCCCAATGGGGGGCGGGGGGAGGACAGGAAGGCTAAGGACATTCTGTCGGGGGCACATCCTACACCAGAAAGCTACCCGTGACCCCGCAGGTGAGGAGGAAGGGTCCGGCGTCCCCTGGCTGGACGAAGGCTCTGTCACTGCACTGTTGTCAGGCCACTGCGTGCCTCTGGTCCGAAAACTGCACCTGCTGACACCTGCTGTGGAGGTGCACGAGTCCGGGAGGGGGACACACAGCCCTGACCTCGTTTCTTCCGGCCCCTCCTCCAGCCCCCGTTTCTGCACCGACCGGTCGAGGACACTTCCGCAGACAGCGGCTTCTGGCCGGCGAGATCACCGCCGCACCGCTCTGGCGTAAGGTCGAGCACGGGGACTGCGGCTGGGACACAGAAAGGCACCCGTCTCCTGCCTCGCCCACCCGTGAGACTGGCTGAGTCACCGTCGCATTCCACCCGTCTGCAAAGTACGCATCCCCCCCCCACTCGCGCCTCGTGAGAGAACGTCCGAGCCGCCGCGAGCAGGTCAAAGCGGCAACGCGCAACGCGAGCACCGTCTGTTACGCCACCAGCATCTTCCCTCCAACACTCCGGGTCTGCGCACAGACGCGCTCAGGTGTGTGATTCCACAGCACTGCCTGCTGCAGGATGGGAGAAGGGCACCCACGTCGCCGCGGGCCCACGAGGGACGCCCCACCTGGTCACCAGCAGGTATAGTTTTTACGGTGCACGCACCTCACACCGGTGCCGCCCAAGCCACTGCACTAAGCCCACAGGCGCCCACAGCAGACAGAGGCCGTCCCCAGCGCTGGCAGGACAGGCAGGTGGGTGTGGGGGGGTCCCGACACCCGGGAGGCAGGGCTGGGGGTGAACAGGCACGCAGAAGTGAAGCCACATGCGGACCGCGATCCCTCAGAGGTCAGAACAAAGGGCATTGTCAGGGAGGCAGGTCTGGGAGGGTAGCAGCGAACCTGCCGGGGCTGAGACTGTGTAAACGTAAAAGAAAAGCGCCCCCTCGGAGAGCGCAGCGGGCAAGCCCTGGGCGACACCAGGCCACGGCTTCCTTGCGGGGCTCCTGCTGTGACCGCAGGGCTGAGGCCAGCGACCTACACTTCCTCAGACGGCGGCTCCCTGACCTCCAACCACGGGGCATAATGTGCTGAGGTTTCACAGACGACCTCAGTCTCTACATTCGAAACCAAACTCAGTGTCTCCTCCCCAAACCACGTGGCAGGCTGACTTCCATGCATGCTGCCAGCAGACCTCACTTAAGTCCCGAGGCTCTCAACTCCTGCCTGCCCCCCATGAAGGGTTTCTGGGCGCCCGTCCTGCATCAGGTACCCTC